TGGAAAGAGCTGGCCTGCTCGCGCAGCCTGGCTGCACTGGCCTGGGCCCAGAAGCTTCCGGAAGGCCCCAGGATGCTGCCTTTAGGGACTTTTTTGGCTGTTCATTTTTGGGACACAGCGTTTGGAGCCAAGGAAGTTGGTGATGGTGGGCGGCATCCCGAGACTCTCACCATGGACAGCAGCCATAGCCAGCCTTCTGAAGGTTGCCATAGCTAGGGCATCCACAGAGCATCTACCCCTGAGGGTATCTGCGTCTGGCTGGGCTATGTTGAGGCTCTTCATCGAGTATTCGTGGGTGGACCACTGTCGCCCATCTCCCCTCCGGAGGTATCAGGGCTCTGTCAGTGGTGTGGCAGCTATAGCTGCCAGCTTCTTCGTCAGAGTTGTTCATCGGTGCTGAAGGCTTCATCGCAGCACCTGTTCTCCATCTGGGCGGTTGGCGCTGGCCTCAGGGAGGCCATTTCAGGGTTGCGCTACTAACTGGGTGTAGGATAGAGAGTGGTGTGTGGAGTGCTGAGGGTGGCGAGATACTGGAACAAACTCGGTAATGATAATTGGTTTATGTTGGCCCATCATCAGTGCGAACCCTATTGTTATCCTCGCAGGTGTCTTCTTGTGATTGGTTGTTGGGAGTTTCGTCAGAGAGTGAGAAACACTGTGTCTTCTCCCCATCTGTGCATGGTTGTAATCCGCTGCCTACTTTGATCTGTGTACAGTTTTGACTCTGTCGCCTCTCCCCTTCGTCTGATGCATGTATGGGCGTGTATGAGATTGTCTGTGTGTGAGTGGCGGTGAAAATCGTCAGACAACCAAGTTCATAACCCAACGCTGTACAGAAATGCGAACAGAAATGCTGATATGTACCATCTCCGAAAATATCGTAGTGTAATCGCCACGTTAGTGATGCAGCCATGGCGCAGAGAGGGTGGATGGGCAGAGGGAAAATTTGAGGAGAGCATGGAAATCAGCACCACTGTTTTCAACTGATAGTCATTGAGCACTTCCACTGACTATGGTTCCAGGAAGGACAAGACTGATCTTGTATGGTTGGTTTCGCTGAACCTTCCCCCTTAGAAAGTGATTTTTGCCCATGTCTACACAATGAATCCTCCTAGTTTTTGAAGTTTCTTTGTGTGGGATGAACCTCCTCCCTCACCTCTAACTGCCTGGCCATGGCATCTAACGGCCTACAGTGGACCAACCTAACCTCCTACGTGCTATCCCCCAGCTATGACAGCAGTTGTCGCTCTCCATTTGCTGCTCCAGTGCTAACCGTTCAACCTTACAGCACGAAATGGATTCTGGGGTCTGGCCACCTGCACGGCACCACTCCGATTGAATGCCAAACTGCATTGGCATTGGCTGAGCCTCTGCGTTTGCTTATCACCATTCACTTCTTCTTAAGCGCATTAAAAATAGACCGCATGGTCTAGGAAAGAGGCGGAGGTCTAGATGTCAAACCCTCAGTTCCGCTGTCTTTCCCGTCCCGCAGCAGGAGGCGAAGTATACTGTGCGCTGAGACATTCTGTACATGCAGGGTGTCTGGAATAGGAGAACAATCTGAAAATGCACTTCCAGAACCTAAAAGTCAGCTGTGCAGTCCAGTCAAACGGAGAATCAACACCCGACCCGTGTTGCGGAAGGGTACACACATGTAACTGTTTGCAAACAGAGCGTGAGTTCGAATCCTGGTGAAATCGGACAAACGGAATCCTTCTTGTTTTATGGAGTTAACCAGACAAATTTAACCAGACAACTAAGAACGGCTGTGCACCACCACCCACCACCCATAGACCCATAGAATCAAGAAAGAGCTAGACAAACAGAATCACTTATTAGATTCCCATAAAACCAAACGACGAATCAACGAATGTGGCAGTCGAAAAGGAGCCACTATGCCCCATGCACAGTGACTCAGTGAGTGGAAATAGACCGACATGGACTGAAATCGAACCAGTCCTGAAGTATGACAAATTGGAGGGCAACAGGGCTGGCCAGCAGAAGAGGACAAAATGTCTGGTGTCTCAGGAGGTCTGCAATCAAGCCTACTCCAGGTCTGAACCAGGCTGTACGAGAGGTTGAAGGGATGATCAAGGGAAGCTAGAGGTGGTGTCCCCTGATGAGAAGTCACGATCAAAGGTGTGAACTACTTGCTGCTGAGCTTCTTAAACCCTGTTTGAACAATCATGAAGCAAAGGTGTGAACTACTTGCTGCCGAGCTTTCTGAACCTTTGTTTGAACAATCGTGAAGCCATGCCTGGCAATCTTTTCAGGTTCATCTGGGTGCTTTTGCGCAGCATGCTTTGTCACTTTTGGAACCCCCCCAAGAAAATCCGAAGAAAAACCATGTTTGCAATGAACCTCATCTGGGTGCTTTTGCGCAGCATGCTTTGTCAGTTTTGGAAACCCCCCAAGAAAATCCGAAGAAAAACCATGTTTGCAATGAACCTCTCAGTTCAGCACCAGTGAGCGCACATATTCACACCACATACAAGTATGAGAACACACGAAGTTCACACTGGAGATCAGAGAGATAAAGACCAGGTAGCGCAGCTTACAAGAGCAAGAAGAGTTCAAGTCACCAGCGCTCATCAGCGCATGCCAAAGGTAACCGGTAACCAGCATAAACTCTCTCGGGTAAGTATCTCTTTCTCACTGCTCTTCTCTCTTGTGAATCTCTTCTCCTTACTGGTGTTCTCTCCAACTATGTCCTCACTGTGTCTTCTCTCCCTACATACGTGCACACTCACTAACTTCTACTCGAGGATCTACGCTGAATACACCCACTGTCAACTCCACTAACTCTCTGAAGACTTCTACTACATACTAACACTAACACCTGCACTGGCGCAGCTGTGGCTGCCTTTTCCCTGCCAGTGCTGTTTTCCTCTCTCTCTCTCTCTCTCTCTCTCTCTCGATGGCAGTAGCATGGATGGAAAGCAGTGTACATTTCCATGTCCTTGCTCATCCTATCGATGGAAGTAGCCTCTCTCTATCTCTCTGAGTGCATGGCTGGAAAGCTCTCTCTCTCTCTCTCTCTCTCTCTCTCTCTCTCTCTCTCTCTCTCTCTCTCTCTCTCTCTCTCTCTCTCTCTCTCTCTCTCTCTCT